GGTTTAGTGTTTGTATAAAGAGATTAGTTAATTTGTTTGTGATTTTATAGTGGGTTTTTTTATTTTTTTGGGAGTGTTTGTGGGGGGGTTTTAATTTCAACTAAGGCGGTTTTTTGGAATTGAAGGGGTCAAAATAGGTTATTAGTGTTGGTAGTGTTTACGTGACACGACCTTACACTTTCTTGGACTAATGATAATTATAACTGTCAAAAAACGTCAAGAAAATTATTTTGTGGGTCAACGGTTTTCTTTAGTTTTGGCTTTCTTTGCACCATAAATGAGGAAGCAGAGGAGAAGATGGGCATTCTGACCTGGTCTGGTTGATCAGATTATTATTGAGTAATTGCTAAGGATGTTCAACAGGTTTTTTTTTTTTGGTATAACAAATTTTTGTGTGAGACGAACTAAAAGAATTTGCAAGACATTTTAATCATTAAACGTGCATATTTCTACTATAAAATGTACTTTCGTTTTATATATTTGAGCTTGACTTTTCGTTTCAAATTGAAAGCGTGCATATTTGATGAGGTTAGTCCACCCTAACTATCAAGGCCATCCCAATTTTTCAAAAAAAAAAAAAAAAAAAAAAAAATACTACTTTTATATTAGAAGTCATATTTGAAAAAAAAAAATATGAAATTTCATAGTTAGGCAAATTGCAATCAAGAAAATAATGACAAATTTACAATTCAGTGCAATATAAAGAAACGGAAGAGTCAAATAAAGTTTTCAGTGTAGCGAAGGAAAAATAGGTACCTTTTAAGGTTTTTTGAAATTCAATGTATGGCACTAATAATGATTAAATGAACGTTCATAAAAGACCCTAATAAGTCAGTAATTGGAAAGGCAAACAGTATAAATTACATTTTAGGGGTTGAGGAAAAAAAAAAAAAAAAGAAAAAGAACAATAATAATAACCTTTTATCAACGTTTATGAAATTACATAAATGATAATATACAACCGGAGGATGTTTTGCTACAAATCAGATTCATCATACATAGTAAACTGCTAAATATCAAGCAAAAAATTGTTGTGTCCTCAAAGCCAAAACTATAACAATGTTTTCATGCAGCCGCTGGATTTGGAAGCCCAATCAACTGCCATACCCCAATCTGGCCGGTAGCATCACCGGTGAAAAACAAACCCTCGATTCCCGTCTGAATCACCTCGACTCTCCCCCTTGAGAAAATTCTACTCCTTTCCGTAAATCTTGGAACATAAAAACAGGTCATCAGCAAAAAAAGAAAGATGAATGAAGCAAAAAGCTTTTGACGTTTAGAGGTTAGAGATACTCACGATGGCAGATCATATAGACGGACTGTCTTATCGTCACACGAACACAATAGAATAGGCTTATTTTCTCCATCAGCTATCCCACAAAGGGCAATCACCGCCTAATTTAAAAACGGACGAAAAAAAATCAGTAACATGAGCTTTCAGCTTTCTTTTCTTTCATAGGTACACATGGCTAGGGCGAAAAAAAAAAAAAATGTATTGGTTATTTGGTATTTCAAAAGGAATATCAGCAATAAATCCAACTTACAGAATCTTCTTTCCTCTCATAGACAACCTCAATGGTCTCGTTTTCGTTCAACGCCCAGACCTTTATTGTATTATCCAGAGAAGCAGATATCAAGTAGGAGTCCCAGCAAAGTACGGACATAACGTCTCTTGCATGCCCACGTAACGTGTGCAGGCATTGAAAAGACTCGCGGTCCCACACCTAAAAAATTTATGTGTTATAAAAAATGAACAAATTAGTTTTAAGTTATGATTAGACAAAATTTGTGCTCATAAGCGAGACTAGCGAGTAACTACACTACTACAGATATATAGATATGTACCTTTATGGTACAATCCTTCGACCCTGAGTAAAGTCTATTTCCTGATCCAACTGCAAGTGAACAGACAGCACTTGTGTGTTCCTTCAGCATTGCAACAGGTTCGGGTATATCCGTCGTCTCTGGATGCCATATCCAGATCAATATTGTACCATCCTGCATCAAAAATAAGTTTTCCATACAAAAAATGAGATCCCTAAAAAAAAAA